GTGTGTGTGTGTGTGTGTGTGCGTGTGTGCGTGCGCGTGTGTGTGCGCGTGTGTGTGTGTGTGTGTGTGTGTGAACAGTGTGACGGTTGTGTTGAAGATGGACCTCTGTGCAGATCTTACAGCGTCTGGAAGGTTCTCTGTTGCAGCAACACTGACTCCAATTAATTTGGCTTTTTCACAAGAGTTTGCATAAATAGACTTTGTGATGTCAGAGTGGAAACAGACTTCTACAAAGTCATGTCAGTTTAAAAAAATAGAACATAACTGATTGTATTATTCCCTTTTGAACTCCTTCAGAGGAGTCACAGGAGTCTCGTGGCCTCCTTCACTGGTCTCCTTCTTGTCAGATGCTCATCTTCCTTCCATTCCTTCATGATGGATTTAACTGGACTCCAGAGATGTTCAGTAACTTGGAAAAGTTCTTCTGATGCTTTTTTAACAACCTTTCCACAGAGTTCTTGGAGTGGGTTTCAAAGTTAAAAAGCAATGAAAGGAGACCTTCCAGGGGGTTAATACTTCATGTAGACTCTGTATGACAGCATCATGGCTGCAGCATTCAGACCCTGCAGAGGTGACACTAGCTCAGAGAAAATACACGACGAGGAAGAAAACAAAGTCTGGAGGTAAAGACAGAGCAGTGATGGGAGAGGAGATAAAGAGACGGTCAGGAGACAGACAGATGCAGAGATAGGAGAAGAGAGGAGGCCGATAAAAACACAGCAGACGGAAACAGGAGTCACCAGGTTGTTCAGATGTAGCTGGAAACTTGTCAAAAAGTACAAAAACCTGTTCACGACTATTCTGTACTTGGCAGAAATGACAAAAACATGTATGACGGACCTCAAACCATCCAGAATAACGACAAAGCTTTTTAGAAAGGACTCGACTTTTAGACTCGAAAATGTCTCCAGAATTATTCAGAAAGACAAAAAAAATGTCGGAAACATGCTGAAGCTTTATTAATGATCTAAATACATCTAAATACAACTGAAGGTTTGCGGGAGGTCGAAGCGTCAGACTTTTTCTTAGAGGGGGAAATACATGAAGAAGAAGAGGAGGCAGATAAAAACCCAGCAGACATCCAGACGGAGGAGTCTGCAGGAGGATCAGCATCACTCAGCAGCCGCCAGAAGAAGAGCTGGAAAAAGAGGAGGAGCTGAAGAGGAGGAGGAGCTGAAGAGGAGGAGGAGCTGAAGAGGAGGAGGAGCTGAAGAGAACTCTGAAACGTCACTCGGTGGATTTATATCTGCTGCACTCTGGTCTGTGTGACTCAGTGGAAACTGAAGCGAAGGGAAGAGATGCAGCCATAAACTGCAGAAGAAGAAGACATTGAAGAGAAGAAGAAGAAAAAAGTTGAAGAAGAAAACCTGTTCCAGGAGTCGACTCACTGAGGTGCATCATGGGAGCTCCTTAGGTCCAGACAGACCTCCGGTTCCTCCACAGACACCCAGCATGCTGGCCAGCTCACCCCGAGGAAGGAGCGCTCCGGCTGGGGCAGGACGGCTGCTGCTGCTGCCTCTGCTGCTGGGACTCATGATGACGGTGGTGGTGGTGGAGGAGGTGGAGGCGAGTGTGGACGAGGAGAGCGAGGAGAGTCAGGAGATCCTGGAGGAGGATGAAGCCGTCAGCGCCGAGATCCTGGTGAGAATCTACAACCAGCAGCTTCTTCACAAGGTGTTCACAAAAAGGTTCACGTTTCACAAGCTGCAGCCAAAACATTTGGACTGTTTTGGCTCTAAAGTTAGTTGGAGATGAATTTAATAATTCAGAGCTCACTGACTGATTGCAGTAGAACATGAAGAATGCAGATGTTTCAGGCAGAAACCGAAGAGATTAATGAGGATAAAATGAGTCTCTGTGTGAGAATGAAACAAGCTGAACGCATCGAATCAAACGGTTGAAACGTCAGTAAAAAACGACAAAACCTTGTTCAAAATGTTAACAAATAACTTGACCTTGAACACAATCACCGAACAAGAAGGAGATGTTGTTCAGGACGAGTTAAAGCACCGAAAAACGTCCCAAATCACAGAAAACTGTCCAGAGTGGCAGGAAGAGGAGGATCATTACAAAATGACAGCAGCTGGTCGTTCCTTTACCAGCTCGGGGTGAAAGCTCTGTTTGGATTTTCTGTTTGCTTTTTTTACTTACTGGCTGTTTTCTGTCCAGCTGTTTGTGAATTTAAATGTGCTTTGAAACATCTGGAAACTTTCAGTTGTTTCTGTGTCGAGCAGGAAGAACCGATGAAGACTTGAATCCACATTTCTTCGTTTCAGGAGCCGCCGTCCTCAGATGTGTCCAGAGTTTCTCCTCTCAGCTCCTGGCTGATCTTCAGAAGAAACTCCAACAAGGGGGACAACCGGAGAACCAAAGGCTCCAGGAGGAGCTCCAAGGTCAGACACAAAGTACTGATCTGATTTGGTACCAAAATATTCGGTTAATTAACATATTCCTTTACAATCACGGAGAGCAGAGTTTGTTGCAGAGCTGCAGCGTTCCTAATAAAGTGGGCCAAGGCTGAGGAGAGAATTATCTTTGAATTTTAGGGTCAACACATCTGAATCTCTGTAGTTCTGTTGATCAAACTAGCGGTGACGTAGCGCTCCGACATGCTGGTTTCAGGCTCCAGAATGACACCGTTCATCAGAAAATGTGAAACAGAAAGAATCAGCAGATTTTCAACTTTCCAAGGGTCCTTGAACGTATCGAGCAACGTGCTGAACCTAAACTCGTTAAGTTGATCAGAATAACATCATTCTACACGTTTCAGTTAAAGATCACCCCAAATGGAAAACGTGAGCACAGCACGAGACCTTCAGAGAGCTTCAGGCCCACAGGGGGCAAGAACATGACGCTTAGAGCTGCTTGGTGCTCAGAAGGTCTCCCAGGATGAGAACATACATGCTGCTGTGTTTTGTGACAAACAAAACAAACAAAACCGTTCAGAAATGAAGATGTTTACGTCGGTCACTCCTCAGCCTCCACAGCTCCTTCACCTCCAGCTTTATGAACCAGGAACAATCTGACCGGGCTACCTCACAGCTAACTGACCAATAGACATCCAGCTGTGTAGCCCCGCCCCCTCACTGCTGCCAGGTGAACCAATCACAATGGGCAGCTGCCTCACAGTCCTCCAGGTTTATTTACTTCCTACAGCTGATCTGCTGAACTCTAGAATGTCTGAACCACCAACAGAACTCACAAAATGTTCTGCTGGAACACCCAGTGGATTACTGGGATTACTGGTGGTCCCCACAACTATAGGAGGATCCTCAGGGTTAGCGTGTTGTAAACTAATGTGGCTAACATTAGCTTGATGGTGGAAACTGTCCCACTGAGGGACATGAACTTTAACTAACCCAGTAATCCAGGACCGGGTGGTTCAGGGTCTAATCTAGACCAATGAACCAGGACCGGGTGGTTCAGGGTCTAATCTAAACCAGTAAACCAGGACCGGGTGGTTCAGGGTCTAATCTAGACCAATGAACCAGGACCGGGTGGTTCAGGGTCTAATCTAAACCAGTAAACCAGGACCGGGTGGTTCAGGGTCTAATCCAGACCAGTGAACCAGGACTGGGTGGTTCAGGGTCTTCATGGTTCCATCTGGAGCTTCTCTCCTGCTCTCTCACATCATCTTCATATCAGCTGCTGTCATCTCCAGATGGTTCTGGTGTCAGGCAGCAGAACCAGGAGGAACCAGTGGACCTCCTCCAGGCGACACGCTGAGCAGCATCGCTTCATCTAAACCGGACTGTAGAACAGGAGTTCAGAACCACCATGAGCTGAGAGTTCCCTCAGATTTACTGTGAGATGATCCTCAGAGAGGCAGTCAGAGGATACAAAGTCTGGCTGTCACTCATTCATCTGTCAATCAGACAGTCTTCTTCCTGAAGGGGGCGGGGCCAGCAGCAGGGGGCGGGGCCAGCAGGCACTCATTTAAAGCTAGAGACATTGAAACGGTTCAGAACAGAACCAGGACAGAACAGTCATGGAGGAATGAAGCAACTCTGAAGCAGCAGTCCGATGTCCATGTGAAGCACCTGAACAACACGCCACCTGCAGGACAAACTTCATCTTCATGTGTTGATGTTTTGTCCTTGTTGCTGTTCTTCCAGGTGGAAGCAACGGCTGAAATAAAGACTTCATTCATTTTCAAATATTTTCTGGATTAATCGATGAGATGTTGGGTCTCTAAAATGTAGGAAATGATGACTGCTGGTGGACACAATATCGGGAACTCCGACCCTGACCTGTGATTTGTGTCTGCAGCATGGTCTTCCAGGACCTCCAGGACCTCCAGGACCTCAGGGCCCTCCAGGGCCACCGGCGCCCATCCTGCCCCAGCAGCAGGAGCTCATCCAGGAGCTGCAGCTGAAGCTGAGAGGTGAGAAACATAGAAACAGCTTCAGGTTTACACATAAACTCTGTTTTTACTGAGGATGGAAAAACTGATGCGACGCTAACGTCTGAACAGCAGCCGACATGTTTGGTTCCTGCAGTCAGCTCAGTGAGTCACACGCTGTTTAGCTTTCACATCATCTGTCTGCTGCAATTTTTCACTTTCACTCAGTGTTCTGTATGTAGGTTACATAAATACTGAGTGTGTGTGGAGGCCTGCTGTCTGAGTCCTTAATAGGGGTAATTTTGTGTAGTGTGGATGTGACTTGGCTCAGCTGCAGGATTCCTGACATTCCTGCTGACTGATGGTGTGTCTTTGTTACTTTCTGCGTGTGTGTGTGTGTGTGTGTGTGTGTGTTCATGCATGTTTTCCCCCATCAGATCACGTCTCTGTGTGTTTTGGTATTTTGCAGTCGTGCGTCCTAAAATTTTAAGATCTAAACCTGCAAAGACAGAAAAACATTTCGACCCGCAATAGAAACATTTCGCTGTTGTGATGTCTGCACTGCAAACACAGACAGACATTGATCATTAATTGCTGTTCATAACTTAAATAATTATAAATATATTAGCTGACAAGACAAGAGAAGAAAATCACAGTGTCAGTAAACGTACCACAGACCAGCTGTAGTACCTGGTTGTTCCACCAGGTGGAGCCTCTTCCTGTTTAATCCTGTAGAGACCAGAGAGGCGTCTCCAGACTACAGCTCATGGTGGCAGCGGAGAGCATTGTGGGAGTTTAGCAGCAACGGGACCATGACAGAGACTCTGAGGAGGTTCAGGACCTCCGACCAGAACTCAGGTGCACCAAAGTGTTGCTCTTTTACATCAGCGACATTGCACCTTCATGGTGGACCAAACGTGGGAGATGCTTGTTCTTCTAGTATCTGTTCCCCCTGTAGTTAACAGTATGTAGCAGAATGTGGCTACAGCAGCATTTGGTACAGCATCACAATGACTACAACTCATCCTTCTTCTCAGACCTGTCAGTGTGCCTTCAGTGTGATCCTCCTCCTCGTGTTTCCACCTCGTTCCTCCGTCGCCTCCTTCAGACGGTCTTTGTCCCTCGACGAAGTCTGTTGGAGCTGCAGCCGTTTAGCCAGGTCAGTATACACTGGAACACCAACAAAAAAGACTTGTCACAGTGAAAACAGATGTTTACACAGCAGCATTACTTAATTCACATCAAATAATTCTATCAGGGTTCTCCTCCTCCAGCCAGTGTTCAGCAGATGGACCTTCAGCTCCATCATGGTCCTGTTGGTCTCCATCAGTCTGAACATCTGGACGCTGCAGCTTCACCTCATTCTGATGAAACTGTTCAGACTCTGTCAGGTTCCACAGGGATCATGATGAACAGAACTGTTCAGGTCCAGACTCTAATTCTCAGCTGGACTGAGGTCTGGACTCTGACTGGGCCTCCAGAACTTCACCTTGTTGTCTTTAAACCATTTCTGTGGAGCTTTGGCTGTTTGCTTTACCTCCGTGCTTCATGGTGGGGATGGTGTGCAGTGTTTAATGTCCACCAAACATCTGATGGACAAAAAGCTCCATTCTGGTCTCCTCAGACCAGAGAACCTTCTTCCAGGTGACTTCAGAGTCTCCACATGTCTTCTGGTGAACTCTGGTCCAGATTTNCTTTAAGGCCAACAAGCGTAAGGCGAGGACCCGTCCATCGCCGCTTGCGGCTTTAATTCAGTTTTTTTTTTAAAAGCACCTCAGCTGGAATTAGACGATCTTTCACACCAGCCATCTTCTACCTGCCATAGAAACACCTGGATAGGACTGTGCCCCAAAGCAAAGTGTTTGAGGGTCTTCTGAAGCCTTTGTGCTGTTTCTGTGCAGTTCTGTAAAGACAATGGGATTGAGTATCTGACGGGTCGGGTTTGGATCGGCTTCTGGTTGCTGCTCATTGTTGTCCTCACCGTCGCCTTTGAGGGAAGTATCCTGGTTCGCTTTGTTTCCCGCTTCACCCAGGAGATCTTCTCCTTCCTCATCTCCCTCATCTTCATCTACGAGACCTTCGCCAAGCTGGTCAAGGTGAGTTCAGAGCTCAGCCACCTGTCCAGTGACGTTATCATGGTGATGTGTTTTAGAAATATGGACCTCGTGCTAAAACCAACGTGCCTCCTGCTGCCCAGCACTGTACCACTCTGAGCTTTTTCTTCTGTGTTGTCATTTCCCAGATCTTTCAGGAGCATCCTCTCCAAAACTGTTACCATGGAAACAACACCACATCTCTGTCTCTGTGCAACTTCACTGCCATGGCCGCCGGAAATCCCGGGAAGGTGGTCGGAGAGCCAAACACAGCGCTGCTGTCACTAGTCCTCATGGCGGGAACTTATTTCATCGCTTTCTACCTTCGCAAGTTCAAGAACAGCTCTTTCTTTCCTGGAAGGGTCAGTGCACACATGGACAGGTAGATGCAGGTACAGGTACATACAGGTGTGTAGATGTACATACAGGTACTTACAGGCACAGGTATGTACAGTTACAGATGCTGGTATAAACAGGTACAGTTACAGGTAAATACACATACATGTATGCAAATGTACATACAGTTGCAGGTACATACAGGTACAGGTATTTGTGTGACGTGATCGTGTGATTCTGGTATCTGCTGATCAATGACCAGGTGTTCTGTATGTTTCAGCTCCGGAGGATCATTGGAGACTTTGGCGTCCCCATCGCGATCCTCATCATGGTGCTGGTGGACTACAGTGTGGAGGACACCTACACTCAGGTGAGGGTGGAGCTTGTTTTACATAAACAGAAACTCATACTGAGGTGGGATCAGACAAGTGAAGTAGTCTCTTCCTATTGGCCTACAGAAACTGAACGTGCCCAGTGGATTCTCCGTGTCCAGTCCAGAGAAGCGTGGTTGGCTGATCTCTCCTCTGGGCTCAGATGGCCAGTTTCCGGTTTGGATGATGGGCGCCAGCATCCTGCCGGCCATCCTGGTCTTCATCCTGATCTTCATGGAGTCCCAGATCACAGCGTACAGCTCTTTAGTCTTCACTTGAAACCAAACTGTCTTCACTCAGGACTTGGTGGACTTGGTTTACCACTTCTTTGTCCTGACTTGGCACTTGTCAGACAGGAATCCTTTGTTCTTAAATTAACTTGACTTTGGACTCGCTGTCTTGACTTGAACTTGGTTATGAGTTGAACCTTGTCTGGCTTGACTTGACACTATTTAACTTGGGACTTAGTCTTGAGTTGACCCTTAGTCCTAACTCTTGCTCTTGACCATCTTGACTTCGTCTTGACTCTTTTGCGCTCTCTGTAGTTGCTGTATGATTGTGTGATGTTGTGTTTTGTTGATCCTGGTCCTGCATCTGTCCATCAGGCTGATCGTCAGTAAGAAGGAGAGGATGCTGGTGAAGGGAACTGGTTTTCATGTGGACCTGTTAATCATTGTGGTGGTGGGTGGAGTCTCAGCACTGTTCGGGTTGCCGTGGTTATCGGCCGCCACTGTTCGGTCAGTCACCCACACCAACGCCCTGACTGTCATGAGCAAAGCCGTCGCCCCCGGAGACAAACCTCGCATCCAGGAAGTCAAGGAGCAGCGGGTGACGGGCTTCCTGGTGGCAGTTTTAGTGGGTAAGATCACCTGAAGAGTTCCTACGTCACCTATATTGCTGTCAGTCTGCTGCTACAGGGCTGATGGTCTGATGTGGTCTAATGTGGCCTGATGTGGTGCTGATGTGGACCATAGAGACATGATCACACCATGTGGTACACAAGGAACTCAAAACCTCTCCAAGGACTCAAATCTTTTCAAAGACTGGTGACTGATATGGTCTGATGTGGTCTCTGGTGGTCTGATGTGGTCTCTAGTGGTCTGATGTGGCCTCTGGTGGTCTGATGTGGTCTCTGGTGGTCTGATGTGGTCTGATGTGGTCTGATGTGGTCTGATGTAGTCTCTGGTCCTGCAGGTCTGTCCATCGTGATTGGGGACGTTCTGCGTCAGATCCCCCTGGCGGTGTTGTTTGGGATCTTCCTCTACATGGGGGTCATGTCCCTGAATGGGATCCAGCTCACTGAGCGCCTCATCCTGCTGCTGATGCCCCCAAAGTACCACCCCGACAACAGCTACGTCCGCAAGGTGAGTCCAGCCCCCATCCTGGGACAGGTCACCTTACACCGAGGGCCCAAGGCCGACTTGAGTCACAGATCAGGTGACTCGCCTTCCGGAAATCGAGCTGAACTACTTTTGGCACCAGTCTCAGTCTCACCTATCCCACCTGTGTCTTCCTCGTTTCACAGGTGCGGACATTGAGGATGCACCTGTTCACTGTTGTCCAGCTCACCTGTCTGTCTTTGCTGTGGGTTGTCATGGCGACGGCGGCGGCGCTGGCTTTCCCATTCGTGCTGCTGCTGACCATCCCAGTGAGGATGCTGCTGCTTCCCCGCCTCTTTAGCCGCCGCGAGCTGCAGAGTGTGAGTCCCTCCTTCACAGTGACATCATGCTGACATCATCACAGTGGCCTGACAGGTGTAGCTCCGCCCTGCAGCAGCTGCTGTCACATGTTTAAAGCTCATTGACATCACAGTGCCGCTCCATCTTCACCTGAAGGAGGCGCTGCTGTCACATGCATACAACAATAAACAAAACAACAATGAAAAACAAATTCATCGTCAGGAAATGAAAACAAACAAAAAGAACAATGACCCCGAACCCACGATACCAGTGGTACGTTTGGTTGAACTGATGCGATTCTGTCCAGAGGAGTCAAAGATGAACCAGAAGAACTGAACTCAGGAGAAAACGGTCATTGAACCAAATATTAACATTTCTGTATATATATTTATGATCCACCAGATTTGATCATATTTTCAGAAGACCTTTAATGAATCCATGAAAGAACAAAAATACAGGATTGTTTTAGCGATAGACTCGTGTTTCTGACCTGGACCGGGTTCTGTTCATCTGAAGGCTGCAGTGTGAACGTTCAGCTGCTCTCTGATCCGTTAAAGTCCCATCAACAGTCTGAGCGGGTCGGACCCAGTCACGGTTCCGTTTAACTGTCAACACAGTCTGAACTGAACTTTACATCATCAGACACAAGCAGCAGAACTGGGTCCAGTTAGTTCAGGATTTCTCCTCATTTCAGCTCCAATATTCATGAAACACATCATTGATGTAGAAAATGACACCAAAGCAGCAGGAAGACGTCCACAATCATGAAACTGTGCCGTGACGGAACCACACACTCACAGCTTCAAGACCAGCCATGCTGTCCATCACTGTTCAGCTGTTTTCCTCCCAGATGTTAAGAGGAGCTGGAGTCAGTTTGACACCTGCAGGATCGGACCAGAGCTGCTGCAGCGACACACTGAGCCACCGTGTCACCATCAGCGGTCCAACATGGACCAGCAGCAGCTGGAACAGCTGCTCACCTCAGACAGGTGAGCTGTTCATCAGCTGCACGGGAACGTTCCAGGAGTCAGAGATGAACCGAGCTGGTCCTGATCTGGACTCTTTGATCAGCTGCTGTTAGTTTAGTTTATTAGGTTTCATACATCACTGATCCATATCTGGTTCTGCTGCGGTTCTACCAGCACTGAGCGTTCCTGTCTGACTGCAGGAACATGAGCAGAACATGAACAGAACTGTGACCTCTGTGTGAAAGAGGCTCAAGAACCAGCAATGTTCCACGTTCCGTGTCTGAAGGAGCCAATAATTCCAGCAAAGATAATCCAGTGTTGTTGGAAACACTGGAAACTGACGTGATGAACAGTTTTTAAACAAAACTGTAATTCAGAAATCAAACAAAATCAAAATGAAAACAGACTGATGAAGACGAAACTCTCAGACCGAGAGCCTCTCACATCTCTGCTGCACTGACTCATAGAAACCTTCCACCAGGAAACACCTCCTCCACACACATCAGTCTTAAAGTGAAGAAACTCAGGCTATGATGTCGCTCCGAGCCGCATCACGTCACCAACATACAGCAGAAACCTTCATACAGTCAAAAATACACAGAAGAAGCACAAGATACATGAATGACAAAAGAAATGAGATACAAAATGTCAAATTGCACATCATAATGAGATAATCCAGTGAAGCATCACAGGTACTAAGAGGTGCTTTTGTTACCTGCAGCTGGACGCTGATGATGCGGAGCCTCACCTGGAGGAGAAGGAGGGGCAGGATGAGTATTCGCAGCTGCAGATGCCCGTGTGACCCGGCAGCTGCGAGCTGATTGGTGGATCTCTTTAAACAACTGTTACTAACTGAAAACGTTCCTGTTGGATCTTTGTGTTCCTGCCTCATTCTATCAGTAAAGGAAATATTATCCTGAAAATGATTTTCTGTCTTTATTTATCTGCTTCTCATCGTCCTGTTTGAGCCAAACTGCACAGTAACATTTAGAGATTCATGTTCAACAGGTGGGCTGCAGGTGTCTCAGTGGTTAGCACCGTGGCCTCACAGCTAGAAGGTCGCTGGTCGGCGTCCCGGTGAGGACACCCGGGATCTTCCTGCGTGGAGTCTCCATGTTCTCCCCGTGCAGCGTGGGTTCTCTCCGGGTTCTCCGGCTTCCTCCCACAGTCCAGAAACATGCTGAGGTTAATTGGTGATTGTAAATTGTCCGTAGGTGTGAATGTGAGTGTGCTTGGTTGTCTGTCTCTAAGTGTAGCCCTGTGATAGACTGGTTACCTGTCCAGGTGAACCTGCCTTCACCCTGAGTCAGCTGGGATAGGCTCCGCCCCCCATGACCCTGGTGAGGATGAAGGTGTAGAGATGATGGATGGATGGATGTTCAACAGGTGATTCACTTATTGTTCTGGAAATACATCCAGACACAGAACAGCAACGTCAGTTAGACGTTATTCTCACATGGCAGAGATCCAGACAGATGTCACCTTAAAGCCGACCTGAGGAGAACAAAATGCTTCGAAACATCAGCGTTCAGGTGTTGATGGACAATGAAGCGACTAAAAACTGTTCATCAGCAGCAATTTAAAGACACAAAACCCTGTAAAAAGTGGTTTTAAGTAGCAGCAGCTTCTGTCTCATGTTCCTTCATTGTGGTTCATGATTCTCTGCAACATGAAGTCCTGCAGCTCTGTGGAACCAGAACATGAAGGAGGAGACAGAACTCAGAGACATCTTCTGTCAGGAGGACTCCGAACCATGAAGACCAGAGAAGAAACATTTCTTTGATTATTTATTTCACAAAAAAATGTATAAATCCTGGAACTGACATGGTTCCAGATGTTAAACCCTGGAGCTCATGTTGTCTCCTGCAGATGTTGAACTATCTCCATGTTCCAGACTTTCTTCTCTGCTCATCAGATGTAGAAAGATGTTCCACCATCAGATGTAGAAAGATGTTCACCATCAGAGGTAGAAAGATGTTCCACCATCAGATGTAGAAAGATGTTCCACCATCAGATGTAGAAAGATGTTCCACCATCAGAGGTAGAAAGATGTTCCACCATCAGCTGTAGAAAGATGTTCCACCATCAGAGGTAGAAAGATGTTCCACCATCAGCTGAATGTATCTCCACCAGCTGGCACCTCTGGTCTCTGGTTCTGATCCGTGCTGCATCTATTCATTGATCCAGTACGATGGATTCTCCTTCAGTCTCTCTGAGGAAACTCTGGCTGCAGCTCACCTGAAGCTCTCTGAATGGTTCCTGTTGGTCACAGCTGAGTCAGTGGTGGAGGATCAGAACCAGGAGGAGGAAGGTTCTGGTTCTACAGGATCAGAACCAGGAGGAGGAAGGTTCTGGTTCTACAGAATGTTGTTAGTACAGTTTATTTTTGGTGATTTTTTCCAAAGACATAGAATACAAAGATTCAGATGAACTATCAGACTGTTTGAGAGCTGAGACGTTGAAACAGTGACAGAAAATTTTTATGTGTGAAATGAAAAACATAAATAAATACGTGTGTAAATAACAGCAGTGACAGAAACACCGAATCAGACTCTTGGATCATTTAAAAGCTGATTTTATTTTTCTGCTGCTTCATTTTCAGATATTATCTGCAAACAAACACAAACACAAACATGTCAGCTGTTTGTGTTTCTATGGTGTAAACGGTAATAAATACTGATTATTGATCTGTGAACACTCGGTGACCGGCAGCATGCTGAACGGAGATAAGGCACATGGAGCTGTGAGGTCACAGGTCAGCTGACCTGCATCCTGTCACACATCAGCTGTAAGACACACCTGAGCAGGTAAAGACGCACACTGAGTCAGTCCAATCAGGAGGCAGCACAGCAGGTCGCCTAATTCTTCACCTGTCAGGAGGCGAAGTCAGTGGTCATCACCTCCCATCAGCTCTTTGCCTGTTTCCTCTTCTGGACAAGTTCAGCCAGCAGCTTGTAGCGAATCACACACTCCTCCTGCGATCAATACACACAGCAGTGCCATTGATTAGTTGCCAATCAGTTAATGATCAGTTATCTGTCAGCCCAGGTTTTATCTGCTCATTTCTGCTCACACATAAACCTGTCCATCTTCTCTCAGTACCAACAGATTGGTAGGCATAGCGACTTCACACTACAACTGTGCCATTGATGTGTTTTGTTATTTATAATTTGATTTTGCATGTCTCCACTATTAACTTATATATAATGTATGGTAAGAAGCGTTGCTTGTTCCATGTTCAATGTTAAAGCAAAATTTGTTTCGGTCCATATTAAAAGTTCATTTGTTCAATCTTGGCCCGCGACTTTGTTCAGGTTTTAAATTTTGGCCCACTGTGTTTTTGAGATTGACACCCCTGCTCTATGTGATATCAGAACATTTAGGTTATTTGTATTTTTCTCTGCATGTTTCAAACACACTGACTCGCTGACTTTAGAGTCATTAATAAACACTTCACTGCAGGAACGTTTCCAGACTGTCAACAGAACCAACAGCTTCAACATGTCAGTAACCAGAACAAACAGTTCTTGGACATCACTGTAGTTCTTTGTAGGAACCAGAACAACATCTGGAGAACTTATTCTGTTATATATTAGATATATTAGATGTTAGAAAGGACAGAAAACACGTTGTCCTCTCTGAGTTTAACCAATCAGCATCTAGACCCACACAGCAGTGTCTTAGGGTCACTTAGGAGAACTGACCCTGGCGGAGGAACTTTGTTCTCCCCTGAAAATGGTCCTGAGAGAGGTTCTACCGGGACGGTTGCAGCAGTGAAAGCTTTTTAGGCCCTGAACAGTCTGTAAGTTTCTGCAGTGACAATCAGCTGAAAGTTCGTCTGTTTCCGTCTGTCTCACCTTCGTCTTTCCTGGAACGACCTTGGCAATGCGATCCCAGCGTTCTGTGGTTCCTCTGGGAAACTGTTGCAGAGCAAGTTCCAGCAGTTTCTGCTGGTTCTGAGTCCAAATGACAGAGTCCACCTTGTCTTTGTTTTCCTGAGACTCTGCCTCCGCTTCGTCCGCCGCCGCTGGGTCAAAGTCTCTCTGCCGACGACCTCTGACCTTCACCTCCCCTCCATCTGCTGCAGAACACTTCCTGTTCCTTCTCCGGATCGCTGGAACCACCTCCTCCTCCTCCTCCTCCTGTTGTTCCTCACAGGCCCCGCCCACCCTCTGAGTCATCACTCTGTCGTCCACAGCAAGGGGAGGGGCCTTCAGCTCCGACAGCTTCACCAGACCTGAACCAAGTGAACGTCACAGTTAACTGCAGTTGACAGAAGAACCTGGTTCTAATAGTAGAACCTGGTTCTAATAGTAGAACCTGATGCTGTCAGGAGAACCTGACTCTTACAGTATAGTAGAACCAGATTTTAACAGAAGAACCTAGTAGAGACTGATAGTGAGACAGTAGAACCTCAGCAGAATCTGACCCAGTGGAGTTTAGTAGAGACTGACAGAAGAACATCAGAACCCCATTAGAACTTGTTTCAGCAGAGTTTACCTGAGCTGTGGCTCACGTTGTCTTTCACCTGTTTGACTTTGGTCGTCACCTGTTGAAGGAAACACGTTCAGTTGGGGACAAGAACCAACAGACTGATGGTTACAGCAGAACCAGGAGGACCAATGAGGTTCTGTCCGTCTGGTTTAGTTCAGTACAAAGGGTCTTACGTCAGCCACCGATCGTCCCAGTTCGTGAGCGATCTTCTCCCATCTGCCCGGAGCTCCTCCTGGGAATTTAACCATCAACCTGCTGAGGAGGCTGAGCTCGTCCTCCGTCCAGTCTGCAGCCTGAGGACACATCAGAGACAGTCAGAGACAGTCTGACGTCCAAACTGATCACTGATCAATAAGCTCAGACCTTCTTCTTGGCAGCTCTTCTGTCCTGCAGCCAGTCGTCCATCTGGTCCTCGATCTCCTCGATGGACGTTGTCTGGACGTAGTTCTGGGAGTTGGTCTCTGAGGATGGCTCATAAACTGGAAACTCCACCTTCGGCTTCTTCACCTTCGTCCTCTTCTCTCCTGCGAGGACACAGCAGCCCCCCGATTCATCAACGTGATCGAAGATTGATCAATAATGTAAAGTCAAAGTACGGCAGCCTGGAAGGACTACAAGGAACCAACTTACTAGTAGCGGCTTCAGCTTCAGCTTCAGCTTCTTCTCTCTGCTGCTGCTTCATCTGCTGGTAGTCTTCATAGTACTGCTTCACCTCCTGAAACACAGAGACCAGGACCAGGACTGAGACCAGGACC